AAGTACGACCGATGACAAACTCAAAATATGTTTGCCAAGCAACAATAGAAGACTTAATCACAATGTACCCAAATTATATATTAATGTAACAATAATTTGAAAATCGATATTACTAAATAATAAAAACCCGGTAATACAAATCCGACTATATCAAACTATGTTTGAGCCCTTAGTCTACCCAATCCTTCCCACTTATAGAGTGCATCACTATTTGACAGTGCAATATCTCGTGATCCTGTAATTGGATTTAGAGATGTTATTGGCTTCACTTGAAGCCAGCTTTAACCACAGTTTGAAGTCAAGCTAAAGTTAAGCCAAGCTAATAGTTTAAGCTATGACTTGAGCTATAGTTTAAAAATTGCTTAAAGTTATAAAAAAAAATATTAAAAAGTAACTATTAATTCTGGCTTTAATTATAGCTACTAGCTTAACATTGGCTTAGTTATAGCTTGACTATGGCTTTTTTGAGCTAAGCTATCTAAGCCAACAACATCTCTAATTAGATTTGAATAACTTTGGGTTTATTAAAATTGTCTTAAAGAGATAAACACAATAATGATAAAATTATTTTTAAAAAACTTCTAAATTAAAAGTTATTTAATCTTAATTGATGATTCGCCACTTAACAGGAAAATGATCTTAGTATAAATTACTATATAAATTACATATACCTGAAATCAGACGTTTGTTTAAGGAAAACTTTTTTTATTAAGTTAATCACTCTTTGTGCTTAAGAGACAATTATTAAGCTTATCGAGACGAATCTAACAATGATAAGATCATCAAAATCAGTTCAGTAGTTGCTGAGATATTGTTAAAAAATAATTGGTCAATTATATAAAATTTTTATAAAATTTCTATATAAACAATAGATATTTATGTAGAATTTTACATAGTCGACCAATCATTTTTAACAATATCTCAGCAACTATCAAACTGATTTTGATAATATTATTACTGTTAGAATTGTCTCGATAAGCTTAACAATTGTCTCTTAAGCAAGAAGAGTAATAAACTTAGTAAAAAAAAAAGTTTCTCTTAGATGAACACCAAATTTTGAGTATATATAATTTATATAGTAATTCATATTACATTACACTAAGGTTGTTTTCTTGCTAAATGGTGAATCATTAATTAAATTTTAAAAACTAGTTCTAATATAAATTCCAAAAATCAGTCTATATGTTAACTTTATAGGATATTATGTATTAAAAGAGTTTATTTAATAATTGTTTAAATTTTTTTTGTTTTTTGAATAAATATATATATACTGTATTTAATTAAAAGTTATTGTATTGTATTTTCTTTATAATAAGATACCTCTGAAAATAAACTACCTTTCTTTTTTGCTAAAAAACTTAAAAATATCTTTTACTTTAAAATAAGCTATCTAAATATAATTACTATTATTGCTATATATAAATATATATAATAATTAATAGTAATTAATTAAAATTTTTAAAAGAGTTTAGGTTCTGTAGCTTATTGATTAAGCTTTCAAACCCCACAAACAAAGTTAATGGTTCAAGTTAGGTTGGTAACAAATTTTCAAATTTGTTATTATAATCTATAATAAAGCTATGAATGTTTTATAGAATAGGTAGGCAAACTTTGCAAACTCTGCAACTCCGCTATTAAAAATTAATGATTACTAATTATTAGTGAAGCTTATTTCTTTTATTGCCTACCTATTCTATAAAATATCTGAAGCTATAATTGAATGTAAAGCTCTATGAAAAGTCCAAGTACAAGTATGGTTTTGGAATAGAAATCTCAGAAGAAGCCTTAATTATAGAGTGCAGGCATCATATGTGATAGCAGCATTACAGAAGATCTAGATTGTGAAAAATTACATAAATTAATTCTTTGGTTGAAGTGATCTAGAGGCAGTACCAACATCTCTTTGTTTTCTATTAAGCAATATCAAAATTTCTGCACCTAACTTGTAGGATATTTGTTTGGAAGAATGATTAACAGATTATGCAAATTAGTTCAATTAAGAAAGGCATTGGGTATTTGATTGAAAAAGTAATACAACACTACCAAAAACTAGAATGATGAAAGAAGTAGTGAATATGTGAAAGGGTTGTAATAAAGAAATGGCTTTATTTAAATTAGAAGCACTTCTAGTGTCATAAAATAGCTAGCTAAATAAGAAAATTATATAGAGTGCAAACTTGCTTAACCTAGTATATGCCAAGTCAAAAAGTTTTGGTTATATTTATAAAGAAATTTATAACAAAAGAAGCCAGAATATATCAATACAAATACAATACCAACTAATAGATTAGGTTCAAGCTAAAAGTCAAAGATGAATTAAAAATCTTTCTCTTAGTAATATGATGCAAGGCCTATAGTTAGAAGTAAAGTATCTGTTACTTAAAGAATTTTATAGTGTTAAACTAGTTTTTAACAAGATAGGTCATTAAAATAATCTATGAAATATAGTTTTGATAATATACAGATATATCATATAAAATTAGGCTGATCATAATATCTTTGATATTATTATAAATGATAATTGTCTTTTAACAATTAACATTGTACCTGCATATTACTGCATATTAACAAAAGGCAAACACCTTTGTTAATAGTTTTATTTAAATGAAAATCAGAATAAAATTTTTGTTTGTACAAACAAATGGGTTGTAATAAAGATCTTATGAAGGCTGAATGCTTTATAGTAGAAAAGCTCAAAAAAGAGGGCATGTCTGCTGCCAAAATTGTATGTATCCTTGGTAGATCAGATACTTCTGTTAAAAACTGTCTTAAATGATTACGTTTAACTAATAATTCTAATTATCTTAAAAGAAAGTCTAGTGATAGAAAACCATTTGTAAACAAGCGTTATAAACGTTTAATTATAAGAAAAGTAAAATCTAACCTCTCAATACGAAGAATGACAAAACGTTCTCTTGCTGCAGAATTCCAATCCCCCTCTATAGCCCCAAGTACCCTGATAAAAACATTAAAAAAATGGCTTTAAATCTTATATTGCATACAAAAATCATTCTTAACAAAAAAAGCACAACACAAATGTTATAATTGGGCCAAGGAACATAAAAATTAGTAAAGAAGATTGGTGACATGATTATGAACTGACGAATCATCTGTCAGCACTGACTCAAATAGAAAAATTCAAGTTTGATGTTACAAAGAAGAAGTATATAATCAAAGTTGTATACAAGCAACCATTAAAAGTGGTTGAAAATCAATTATGGTTTGGGGATATGTAAATGGATATAATTTATCCCATCTGGTTCACTGCTTACCATGTATGAATAGTGAAACATATGGAGAAATTATTGTGGATACTGTTTATCCCATAATTATGGCTACAAACAATGCAATATTTCAAGAAGACAGAGCAAAAATTCATATAAGTAAACCAGTAAAAAAATTAAAGCAGAGCTTGGAATTGTATCTATGAAATGGCCTCTGTATTCTTCAGACCTTAGTCCTATTGAGAATGTTTAGAGAGAAGTTAAATGTTGGATTCATAAAAACTTAAAGCCACATAATCAATCTGACTTAGAAGAGGCTATTACTGTGGTATGAAATAATGTTGCATTTAAAACAACTCTTCAGTTTATAGACTCAATGCCAGATAGAGTAAAGAAAGTTATTAAAAAAAAGGCTGTGAGATCAGTTGGTGATTATTCATAAAATAATAAAGTAAATTTGAAATATCATAGTGATATCTGATCGGTCTAATTTTGTGTAATGTGTCTGTACTATATAGAAAGTACAAACAGATTAGTTAGTAATACTATATTTAGAAAAAGAACATTAAGATCTGAGTGATACAAACTAATAGTGGTAGCAAAAACTTGGCTTAAGATATGGATTAGTAATACTTAGGAGAATAAGTGAGAGGCTTGTTGACAATGAAATATCAACTTCTTTATATAGTGACCCTAACTAGGTAACAAGTTTCTGACTTAAGATATGGGCTATATAAAGATTATTTGTACTTTCAATATATTATTGATATTTATAAGCATATCAAATTAGAAGCTTATAAGAAGCAAAATAACTTGATAGAACCAAATTAGAAGTTATAACTAGGTATAGTAAAACATAAAAGGAATATAATAATTACTAAAAATAGTTAGTTAAAAAGTGAAATCTAGAAAATCATATATAGAATATAGAAACATTAGTAGGTATAGGTCATAGATAACTGTTTAAATCTCTGTAGTTTATCTTATATTATATGAATTAATATATAATACTGCAATATAAGATGTAGTAAATAGAATATGGAAGCCCGCTTGAGAAGTCCTGAGTAGAGAGGTAGCACAGATCTTCAATAGCACTATATAAAGGATTATCATTTGGGAAACTAAACACTGAAACCAAACTGAATAAAAACCAAGTGTTTGGTAAGCACTATACCAACCAGGCCACCAGATTAGCCAGAGAAAAAAGAATTCATTCGAAATACCAGGGGACGTCTACTAGTTCCTCTCAGGCTATTTGGATTAAAAGTTTAGGGTACTAACGGTTGGCATCAAAGTACTGTTAATAGTCTATAAAGTATGTGCTGAGGTTTGGATGAACTTTGCAAATGCACAGAGTAGGTAATGGTAGTGGAGATAAAAAGCTGCAAGTACTTGGCTATGGTCTAGGCATAAGTTACCAAAAATCTAAGTAATACATGTATGGGACATGGACTGCTCTGGTAGATTTACTACAAGAATAAAGGACCTCTATATGATAGTGTATATTTGCTTTAAAGTTCTAAGGCTTATATAGCAGTTCTTCTTTGAGGAGAATATCCGACGGCGCTAAGTTGATCAGAGGGTTTAATTAGGTAACTCAAGTAATAGTGGGTTACAGATATGGCATCTAGTATAGTTCATATGGGTTACATATGCAAGACTGCTTAAATAGACAACTAAAAGTTGTATATATGGCTAGAATGTATCTTTGTTAATATAACAAAGTCAAGGGTAGCCTATGTGGTTGCTCTGGTATTTGATCCAAAGTTTAATAAAACATGCCAAACCCCAAAGTGGTCATCTTAACATTAAAAAAAAAAAAAAGATGCAGTAGATAACTGTTAATAATAAGAGCCAGAAGCATAACCTTACCTTGAATAGTATTATATTAGTAGATTTTATTAGTATATTTTAAAAAATTTTATTAGTATATTTATTAGTATAGTTTATATTTATTATATGTATATTTTTAGCTTTAGTTTAATAATAAAATTTTTGACAAATAGTATTAATTTTAGTATAATATTAGATATGTTAACTAGTATGTTAACAGATATGTTAACTATTATCTAGTATATTAACTAGGTTGTTAAATAGGTTGTTAAATAGGTTATTAACTAGGTTGTTAAATGGGTTGTTAACTAGGTCATTAACTGGGTCATTAACTAATAGTTCAAAAGATATAAAAACTCTGCCTTTTTCTTCAAGACAGAGCAGACTGTCCTTTACTTACTTTTAATTTTTAATGATTAGACTATCTCTTCTCTACTTTTAATTTATTGTTATTTATAGTTTATTTTCTTGGAAGTGTAACCATCACTTACCTTCTTTTTATTGTATTTATTGTATTTTTATTGTATATTTAAAGTTGAGCCATCGCCTTTTCTTTCTTCTTTGAGTATTTATTTTTGGTATATTGAACCATTGCCTCTTTTTCCTTTTCTTGAATATGTTATTATATTTTAGAATTAAAGCTATCATCTCTTTTCTTTATTTTTGATTTATTGTTTTACTTTAAAGTCTTTTTTAGTTTTCTTTTTTATTTTATTCTTTTCTTGTTTGCAAATACATTCCTTATATCAGGAAGTTTTAAAAGGTATTAAAAAGTGTTAACTAATATTAATAGTTATTTAACGCTATGACCAGTAGGACAACAAACTCTATACAGACTAACAACATTAAAAAACAATTTTACAATGCATTAAACAACACATTTTATTAACTAATGCCATTTAAAAATATGTATTATTGTGTTAAGCAATGTATTTTATTAACTAATGCTATTTAAAAATATATATTATTATGTTAAGCAATGTATATTTATTATAAAATGCATTTTTTAAATATATTAAGCAATGCATAGCAAAGCTTATAACTAATATATGAAATATATGCAATAATCGTTAAGTACTAATTTACTATCTAACATATTGCTAATTAAATCACTTAAATTGTTCTTGTAATTTAATCTTCCTTATAATTGCTATCACTACTATGATCATTTTCATTATCATCACCACTAGATAATTCATAGTTTTCTTGAATTGCTGCTTTTGATATTGCAGAAGAACTTGTATGAGAACTTGCAAGACCTTTTTGCAAAATATTATTCTAAAAAAAAAATTACATGTTCAAATTAGAGGTGCAGATATAACTCTGTAGCTTGTCATAACTATAATAAGCTATGAAAAAAACGTAGTAATTCACTATAGTTATAACAAGTTACAAAGTTACATCTGCACCTCTAGTTCAAATAAATTGGTAAAATCATTAATAAACAACATATATACATTCTTATTATTTTCAGCATTTAGCTTTTGAATTCATATATGACAAAATCTACATCAATCTTTGGCGAAAGATATTCCTCATCAAAATAGTTTCAAGAACTACTTGTGTCCAAATAGCATTAGCTTAGGTATGTTCTTCATTAGAAACAAAACTATGTTTTATGATTAACGAAAGAAATGTGTCAGAATTTGGATCATCTGAGTCACAGAGGTTGTATAAGTCATTATACGCCTTTTTATAATTTTTTTCTAATCTTTCATTTGTGCTTTTGTATTTTTCACTAAATGGTTTTATTCGATTAATACCAAAAGTGCTTCACATCCCTCTTTTACACATCGAATATAATAACTTTTTTTTAACTGAATGGCTGAAAGCATCTGTATATTAAATAAATTAAATCTAATAATTAGTAATCAAATTTAAAAATAGATTATAAAATTTATAATAATCTATTTCTAAAATCGCAGGTTTACTCTTGCAGTACTTATATAAGTAAAATTAGATTAAAATGCCTACTTCTGAATAAAGCTTATCACTCTAAAACTTGTTAAATGAAACACCTTTTTCATTTAATTTTTATAGATTTTCCTTATATTCATCATTATTTTCTAGTATTTCTTTAAGTTGCTCTTTTATCTCTTCATCACTAGCCTGTCTATGATTATGAAATAAATCATGTACTAATTTTTTGATCGCATTCTATAATATATAATATATATAGTGACATGTATAATAATATTAATAGATGGCAAACTATTAGTGTAATGAAGGCATATACATACTTGAAAGCAAACATCTAATATATTTTTTGCAGGCTTTTTTCCTTTGCCCCTTTTGACAACATTATCTAACTCATCAACGCTGTCTAATTTTTTTAAAACTTCACCAAGCTGTGTTCACTATTTATTAAACAAATATTCAAACTTAGCCTGATTCCTAGCCAGCTGGTCGAGTTTTGCACAATTATTTTGCATGACATTTAGAACCTTGGTTAAAATATGTGAATTGACAGTAGTTGGAGCTATAAAATAAAATATAAAATAAAATAAAATTATAAATAAAAAAAAAAAAAAATTTTACAAACTTAAAATTTCAGCTGTTTTATTAGGAGTATCCAGTGATGTAGATTCAATAATAACTCGAGGCTAAGCTATATTAAATTAAATAATTTAGTAATTGATAGAATATTAATAAAAAATATGAATAAAATTAACTTACTTCTTTTGGAATAATAACTTGAGGCTAAATTATAAAAAATTATATGATTTAATAAGTGATAGAATACTAATAAAAAAAAGAATGAAAATAACTTACTTCCTTTTGAAAGCTGATCTTTCTTTTTTTGTTTGGTACTACAGTTATTGATAAAGCTGATGTGGACAATATTGATGCTGACAAAGCTGATGCAGACAAAGCTGATACAGACAAAGCTATTGCAGCTAAAGCTGATATGGACGTAATTGAGGATGAAGCTACTGTGAACAATGTTGATATGAATAACGAAGCTGATGTAGACGAAGTTGGTTTAGATAAATTTTACATTTATTAAATTTTAATATTCTACATTCATTGGGTTTATTGAGTTCATTGAACTTTGCACCTTGTTTATCTAATAACTGTTTAGAGCGTTGCAAAGTATTGAGGTTCAAGACAGTATCAGAATTTGTTCTTTTTCCTTTTTTTTGTACATCATATCCTAATCTCAAGCAATAAAGTTGTAAAAATAAAGAAAAAATTTCTTTATTTATATAAAATTTACTTTAAAAATAATATAACTACGTAAACTACGTAATCATATTATTTATAAATTAATGATGTATAATAATAAATATATTAACTGATTTATTAATTAATTATATTAGCGTTAGTAATTAAATCAATACAATTAAAAAACTAAATGCAAATTAAATAATAGATTTAAAACTTACTACCACTATAACCAGGAATTTTAAAAATATTTCTTATTGTTCAACATTCTGAAAATAAAGCTAAAGCATGAGCACAAATAGAAATAAATATTTTATTTGTCAGACTATTACTCTACAAAATTTTATCTCTAATCATTTTTTATATAATGACGCAAATCAAAAATCATTTGCAATTACCAATTTTTAATAGTAATTACAAACAATTTTTGATTTGCGTTATTATATAAAAAATGATTAAAGATAAAATTTTGCAAAATGCAATAAATAATATGTTAAACCTACCTGTAGCTCAATGTAATAATTACATACAATATAGAGTAAATTGAATTTCTTTATTTCTATTTTACTATATTGTTATATCATATGTCATTCATGTTATCTTCATTACAACGTGTACATTTTCTACACTTTAAAGCTAATGAATTTGATTAAAAAAAGAAAAATAAATAAATATATTTGAGGTATTCGATAATAAATGATGATCAAGAAAACACTTGTTAAATGGTTTTTTTCAGCAAGATATATATCTTTAGTAGTAAATTTCTTATATACAATTTAATTTCTATAGTTACTTTATATTCTACATATGATCTGAGCAAACATGAAAGAAAAGCTCAATAACAAGCTCATATATTTTGAGTTTACCTCCTGTTAAACCAGAGATATAAGAAGTCAGATGCAATTTAAGGATGAGCTTGATTATTATGACTTCCATTATGTTGCGTATAAAATTTGCTAGCCAGAAGTCTTTAAGCAACATACTATTAATAACTGACTATTGCAAACATAAATAGAAATATAACCTTAGTGCAAAGTTACACTATCCTGAATCTTGAGTCTGTTTTCAGTAACCAACGAGAATCAAACTGCATATCAAATTGGTCTGTTTCAGTTCTTGGATAGCTTACAAAACCTTTGGCTTAAATCATTTAGTGATCTATTTTATGCAATGTAATAGCGATAATTAATAACTATTATTGTTTAAGACCAATAACAATTACAGTATATTGCATGTTTCATAAATATACTTATACTTATTAATCTATACATATATATCTTGGCCCAATTTTTTTTTTTTTCGGTATTAAAGTGAGGTCATTGTCTCGTATCTTTATTAGATATTTGATTGGAGTATTTGCCTTATATGGCTACATATCTATCTAAGAATACAAGCTTTGAACAATTATCTATAACCTAAACCTATCAAAGTATGCTATGTTTCCGCCATGTATTGGGTTATACCTAGATTTGGTGTTCAGACTATTTCTAGTTACCCACCATATTCTTCTTATGTTTCACCATCAAACCTTGATTACTTCCAAATTGGTTCTTTCAGAAAATCGGTCCTTTTTACAGCCTCCTAATTTGGTGTACCTGTTATTCGATATGTACTAGTACTAGTAGATAATCTTTCTTATGGGTGGCCTCTCGTATATATATCTTAAGCCAGATGCCTGCTGCTATTACTAGTCCCACATGAAAAGCATTGGTATTACATTTTTGGATCTTTGGACTTATCTTGTGTTTGCACTACCCATTGTTGGCTTGTATCCCTTCATACAACAGTACATTGCATGAATGCTGCAGATCCTTCCACTTACTCCCTCAGGTAAACTGACCTCGTATCTCAAGCCAGGCCTTTGCTGCCGCTAACGGTTTGCCGTCCCCAGGTCTAAACATTTTTTAAGTTGTATAGTACAGTTGTACAACTTCTATCCTCTTATGTACTGCTTTATATAGTGTTCGCCAGGACCATGATTCGTGAGGACCCCCTGAGGTTGCACAGCAACCGCAAGGCTACACACTCCCAGCCATTGGCTTTTGTAATTTGCTTTAATGACCTATCTTGTTAAAGACCAACCTAACACCATGAAATTACTTAAATGACAAGCTAAATCACTTTCAGCTATTTCTAGTTGGTATAGCATTCATGTTGGTATATTCTAGCTCTTTTCGTCATAGACTTCCATATAGGTGTAACCAGAGCTTTGATTTGGTGCATTTAGATATACAGTGGTAGATTACATTCTCTATATCGAATAGCCTTCTATAGTCATTTCACCGATGCCAGAGGTGCTTCCAATTCCAGTTAAAGCTTGATCCTTTATCCCAGCCCATAGTTGCATATCTCTGCTTCACTTACTACTCCAGTTTTTGGTAGTATTAAATCATCCTTCCAAGCAAGTATCTAATGCCATACTATATTTAGGACTTATTCGCATGATTTGTTGATCATCCTTCCAAGCAAATACTCCACAAATTAGATGCAGAGATGTTGGTAATGCCAAATATAGAGGTGATAGGATGTTGGTGTTACCTCTTAGTCACCCCAACTAAGAACTTATACGCACAATCTTCTACAGCCTAGACCTTCTGTGATGCCACTGTCACACATAGTGCCAACATTCTGCAACTAGATCTCCTTCTGGGAACTCCTTATTCTGATCTCGTACTGCACTTGGACTTTCCACAGGACTTCATATCCAATTTGGCTTCATATAGTTACAGTAACAAATTCGAAAATTTGCCACCAGCCTGACTCAAACCGTTAACCTTGTCTGTGGAAATTTGAAAGCTTAACCAATAAGCTACAGGACCTACATCAGGAAATTTTGAAGCCTGATTATGATCAGTTGCAAACAATTAATTGATTATAATTGATTGGTTTCAAGCAATTATAATCGACAGTGGTGCTGATAATCGATTCATATCAAATCGATAATAATGATAATTGATATAAATCTATATATATAAGTTGATTATAATTGATAGCTTTCTATATATATTGATTATAATTGATGAAAACTCAATCGATTTTAATCGATAGTGGTGATAAGAATTGTTTAAAATCCTTAGATTTTAATCAATAATAATCTAATTTTAAATTTTTCTGATGTATACCCCTCTTGGCCCAATTTTTAAAGTTCTACAATAATCAATAGATATTAAAATTGGTAGTATAGCTAACAAAATAAACTTTTAACTCAATGGCTTACAAAAAACTCAAGCTTTGACTCAAGATTTTAGCTTCGCTTTGGGATGTGATTCGTTTAAAATATTTCAAACCATTAAATTTCTGTTATTATAAAAATAATTTTTTTTAAAAAAAAAATAATAATATGCCTAATAACGTCATAATAATTGATACATAATGGTGTGTGTTGAATTAAAATCATATAAGAAGAAATCATGATTATGTATAATCATATTTAACTCTTATTATAAATATTACGTATCTCTTTTTTCAAAAAAAAAATTGAGTTTTTAATGTAAAAAGTGTAAAAGAGAATTTTCCTGTTGAGCTTCACTTCGAAATCATATAAAAATTCATGATGATACCATTGACAAACTTTTATGGAAAATCACTGAAGAAAAAGAGAAAAATAGGTGTATTTTATGTCAGTCAAATGAAGACCACCTTGCAAGAAAAAGTCTAATAGAACTAGATGTCCAACTTGAAGATGATGAAGGTGAAATAGGAATAGATAGTCAGCTTGAAGGTGACAAAGGGAAATAAGAATAGATAGTCAGCTTGGAGGTGACGAAGATAGAATAGGAATAGATAGTCAGCTTGGAGATGACAAAGATGGAATAGGAATAAATAGTCAGCTTGGAGGTAACGAAGGTAGAATAAAAAATCAGCTTGGAGATAATGAAGGTGGAATACTTGGAGATAATAAAGGTGTAATAGATAATTGCTGGATAGGTGAATGTGAGCTCAAAAGCTAATTGAAAAGTTGAACAGAGGATATTTTAGAAATGGAAGAAATAAATAATCAAGTAACAGTAAGTATTTATATATAAGGTCAAGTGAAGTTATATAAACAATAAGAACAATAAGCTATTGTTTGTATAATTTCTACACGAATAACAAATAAACTTTATTTTGATCAGCGTTATACATATAACTTAAATATATATATATATATATATATATATATTTAGGAAGAACATTTATTACTTAATGTAGAGCCACCTTTAATTTTTGAG